AAATGAATGTTCAGTGTACATCAGCTGAATGCATGCCCGGTGTGGAGACTTCCAGCATTCCGCAGCGGGGGAGCCTTGCTCTCTGTGGGGAAGCAGTGGTCTCTCTGTGGAGAAGGGACCCTTGCTCTCTGTGGGGAAGCAGTGGTCTCTGTCGGGAAGGACCCTTGCTCTCTGTAGGGAAGCAGTGGTCTCTCTGTGGGGAAGCAGTGGTCTCTCTCTGTGGGGAAGCAGTGGTCTCACTGTGGGGAAGGACCCTTGCTCTCTGTGGGGAAGCAGTGGTCTCTCTGTAGGGAAGCAGTGGTCTCACTGTGGGGAAGGACCCTTGCTCTCTATGGGGAAGCAGTGGTCTCTCTGTGGAGAAGGGACCCTTGCTCTCTGTGGGGAAGCAGTGGTCTCACTGTGGAGAAGGACCCTTGCTCTCTGTGGGGAAGCAGTGGTCTCTCTGTGGAGAAGGGACCCTTGTTCTCTGTGAGGAAGCAGTGGTCTCACTGTGGGGAAGGACCCTTGCTCTCTGTGGGGGAGCAGTGGTCTCTCTGTCGGGAAGGACCCTTGCTCTCTGTGGGGGAGCAGTGGTCTCTCTGTCGGGAAGGACCCTTGCTCTCTGTGGGGGAGCAGTGGTCTCTCTGTCGGGAAGGACCCTTGCTCTCTGTGGGGGAGCAGTGGTCTCTCTGTCGGGAAGGACCCTTGCTCTCTGTGGGGGAGCAGTGGTCTCTCTGTCGGGAAGGACCCTTGCTCTCTGTGGGGGAGCAGTGGTCTCTCTGTCGGGAAGGACCCTTGCTCTCTGTGGGGGAGCAGTGGTCTCTCTGTCGGGAAGGACCCTTGCTCTCTGTGGGGGAGCAGTGGTCTCTCTGTCGGGAAGGACCCTTGCTCTCTGTGGGGGAGCAGTGGTCTCTCTGTCGGGAAGGACCCTTGCTCTCTGTGGGGGAGCAGTGGTCTCTCTGTCGGGAAGGACCCTTGCTCTCTGTGGGGGAGCAGTGGTCTCTCTGTCGGGAAGGACCCTTGCTCTCTGTGGGGGAGCAGTGGTCTCTCTGTCGGGAAGGACCCTTGCTCTCTGTGGGGGAGCAGTGGTCTCTCTGTCGGGAAGGACCCTTGCTCTCTGTGGGGGAGCAGTGGTCTCTCTGTCGGGAAGGACCCTTGCTCTCTGTGGGGGAGCAGTGGTCTCTCTGTCGGGAAGGACCCTTGCTCTCTGTGGGGGAGCAGTGGTCTCTCTGTCGGGAAGGACCCTTGCTCTCTGTGGGGGAGCAGTGGTCTCTCTGTCGGGAAGGACCCTTGCTCTCTGTGGGGGAGCAGTGGTCTCTCTGTCGGGAAGGACCCTTGCTCTCTGTGGGGGAGCAGTGGTCTCTCTGTCGGGAAGGACCCTTGCTCTCTGTGGGGGAGCAGTGGTCTCTCTGTCGGGAAGGACCCTTGCTCTCTGTGGGGGAGCAGTGGTCTCTCTGTCGGGAAGGACCCTTGCTCTCTGTGGGGGAGCAGTGGTCTCTCTGTCGGGAAGGACCCTTGCTCTCTGTGGGGGAGCAGTGGTCTCTCTGTCGGGAAGGACCCTTGCTCTCTGTGGGGGAGCAGTGGTCTCTCTGTCGGGAAGGACCCTTGCTCTCTGTGGGGGAGCAGTGGTCTCTCTGTCGGGAAGGACCCTTGCTCTCTGTGGGGGAGCAGTGGTCTCTCTGTCGGGAAGGACCCTTGCTCTCTGTGGGGGAGCAGTGGTCTCTCTGTCGGGAAGGACCCTTGCTCTCTGTGGGGGAGCAGTGGTCTCTCTGTCGGGAAGGACCCTTGCTCTCTGTGGGGGAGCAGTGGTCTCTCTGTCGGGAAGGACCCTTGCTCTCTGTGGGGGAGCAGTGGTCTCTCTGTCGGGAAGGACCCTTGCTCTCTGTGGGGGAGCAGTGGTCTCTCTGTCGGGAAGGACCCTTGCTCTCTGTGGGGGAGCAGTGGTCTCTCTGTCGGGAAGGACCCTTGCTCTCTGTGGGGGAGCAGTGGTCTCTCTGTCGGGAAGGACCCTTGCTCTCTGTGGGGGAGCAGTGGTCTCTCTGTCGGGAAGGACCCTTGCTCTCTGTGGGGGAGCAGTGGTCTCTCTGTCGGGAAGGACCCTTGCTCTCTGTGGGGAAGCAGTGGTCTCTCTGTGGGGAAGCAGTGGTCTCTCTGCAAAAGGTCTGACACACTCCCTGCTGAGTTGGAGCTCATGCTCACAGCTGATTGGATAGCTCTAACTCAGCAGGGATTGTGTCAGACCTTTGCAGAGAGACCACTGCTTCCATACAGAGTGCAGGCTTTTCTACCCAGGCCACAAGGGGCTGATGTATAAAGCTGGGAATTTCCTTTGCTCCTCAGAGCCAGGAATGCAATCGGCATTGGCCCAGCTATGCGCTGAACGTTTCTCCACGAGCCGCTGTGACTTTGCTGACATCAACTGGACAGTTCAGTCGGGCTGTAAAGAACGGGATGGGTTTTTTTCACTTCACAAAAATACAGAAGTTTCCAACTTATTTACAGGACACGGCGGTCAGCGGCACGCGAAGCTGCATTATAAATAGGACGCACATCAGGAAAACGCACGCAGGCCGGATACACGTGCCACAGACAGCAAAACACAATACAAAGCTGAACTCCAGGCAAGCGACACACACGCACACACACACAGGTGACACGCAGACACACACACAGGTGACACGCAGACACACACACAAGTGACACACAGACACACACACAGGTGACACGCAGACACACACACAAGTGACACATACTCACACAGGTGACACGCACACACACACACAAGTGACTCACATACTCACACAGGTGACACGCACACACAGGTGACACGCACACACAGGTGACACGCAGACACACACACAAGTGACACATACTCACACAGGTGACACGCACACACACACAAGTGACTCACATACTCACACAGGTGACACGCACACACACAGGTGACACGCAGACACACACAGGTGACACGCAGACACACACACAGGTGACACGCAGACACACACACACAGGTGACACACATACTCAGGTGACACGCAGACACACACACAAGTGACACACATACTCACACAGCTGACACGCACACACACAGCTGACACGCACACACACAGGTGACACGCAGACACACACACAGGTGACACGCACAGATATACATATGGGAGCCGGTTTCCTGTGGGATTTGTATTTCTCATCCAGTCCTGAGATTTACACAGCTCTGCAACACAGCATAGTCCTGGCTGGCAGGGTACAGGGCCTGATTCTGCTTCACTTACAGTTCTCCTCTCCACCCCATGACTAGACAATGAAAGGTGAAGCAGCACACCCACAAGCTCATCTCTGCCACTCTGTATCCTCCTACTATCAGCATGCTACTTGCACTGCAACACACCTGACTGGCTCATTATGCTGCTTCTCCCTTCCCCCTCCTTGAGCTATGCTGTACAGGGGCTGCACCAGGCTGATATCCAATCAGATTCAGTAACTTCAATGCTTGTATTCATTACAGAACTGCATTGTCCTTGTTTTATATCGGCCCGGATTTCAGCTGTAAAGAAAACCAAGATGGAACGTGATTGGGTTTTATAAATGATGCTCAGGCCACGGACGGGGAACTTCGCAGCCGAACCGTCAGAGACAAAATATTTATTCAAATATATTCCTCAATAGAAATAAAAGATATAAAGATAAACTATGTCTGCATCAAAACCCAGATATTACCCTGTGAATGTAGCAGTGACATCATCGCTGTGCTGCACATAGCCTATGCAGAGAGCAGAGCTGACGGAGGGACCCCAGCAAGCTCCACCCACTACAAGAAACTACAGGAGGGGGCGGAGACAAGACCACTCACCCTGCACACGGAGAGAGAGCAGCAGTGACCGGTCTTTATTATAGGAGGGGGCGGAGACCAGACAGGTCACCCTGCACAAGGAGAGCAGCAGTGAGCGGTTTTTATTACAGTAGGGGGCGGAGACAAGACCAGTCACCCTGCACAAGGAGAGAAAGCCAAGCAGTGGGCGGTCTTTATTACAGGAGGGGGGCGGAGACCAGACAGGTCACCCTGCACAAGCAGAGAGAGCGCAACGGTGACCGGTTTTTATTACAGGAGGGGGCGGAGACAAGACCAGTCACCCTGCACAGGGAGATAAAACAGGAGTGACCGGTCTTTATTACAGGAGGGGGCGGAGACAAGACCAGTCACCCTGCACAGGGAGATAGAACAGCAGTGACCGGTCTTTATGACAGAAGGGGGCGGAGACAAGACCAGTCACCCTGCACAGGGAGATAGAACAGGAGTGACCGGTCTTTATGACAGGAGGGGGCGGAGACAAGACCGGTCACCCTGCACAGGGAGATAGAACAGCAGTGACTGGTCTTTATGACAGGAAGCACCAAGTTTTGCAGAAATCTGGAAGAAATACACAAAGCTCACCGAGGTTCAGGAAGAACACGCACGACTTCTGTATTTACTTATCCCGGAGTTCAGCTTTGAACATAACAAAGTGATACATATAAACTCTGCTGCGACAATGAAGCCGCACATACAAGTCATCAGAATTTCTGTAAAACCACAAACAGTTGATGAAATGCCTGGGCACGGCGCGTCTTCCCATCATGACCCCGGCGGGATGCACAGTGATCATCTTCACAGGCGTAGCAGACGCGAGGGAGGGGGACTATACTAGAGCGCTGGCAGCCATCTTTGTTTTGGGCAGGAAGTATACAAGGCACTTACGGAAAGGGACAAACAGAACAAGTACTGACTCAGATTTATCAGGTAGGACTTGCATCGGAATGTGACAATTTCCCGGAGTGTCGAGGTGATCACACATCTACTAAATGGCACATGGAGTAGAGGAAGGATTGTGCTCCGCTGGTCTCATCAGGCAGATCGTTGGTCCCGGGGGACAATGAGAGGAGGAAGCAGTTCTGCCCTAATGGGAGTTTTTATTTTAGGTGGAATGATGGATGATCCTCAGGAAGGGCGCAGGAAAGATGGCGGCTCCTCAGTCCCATAGAGGATTATTGTAGAGGGCGGAGGCCCGGAATCGAGGAGCTTGGATAATAAAACAAAGCGTTTCATTCCTTTACAGGAGCGGGAAGATCCAAAGACTTCAGGTCATCCAGAAAGATAGTGGGCGTCAGAATATGAGTGGACCCTGAGGAAGGGAAAAGGACAAAGTCAGCACAAGATATTCCACAACCAGGTGACGTCTATGCTACCTCCATCTATGAACCTCCATGTACCTCGACCTATAAACATATATATAGAATACACTATATTGCCAAAAGTATTGGGACGCCTTTACACGCACATGAACGGTAATGGCATCCCAGTCTTAGTCCGTAGGGTTCAGTATTGGGTTGGCTCCGCCCTTTGGCGCTATAACAGCTCCGCCTCTTCTGGGAAGGCGTCCACAAGGTTTAGGAGTGTGTCTATGGGAATGTTGGACCATTTGTGAGGTCAGGTACTGATGTTGGAGGAGAAGGCCGGGCATAAGAAAACAAAACGTGCACAATACGAAGAGCAAAGAGCATGTGTGCTGCATGAAACTGACCAATCAAAACCTCCCATTTGGACTCGGTAGCTTTGGTGATTTCATAGGCACATCTCATTTCGGACATGGAGACTCCTCCCAGGACGTAGACCAGAAGCCGCGGCCCGGACCTGTACTCCGCCGCACTGCGCGTCTTGTGCCAGTGACCGAACCGTGCGCTGAAAACACAAAGACGCATATGAAGACCGGAGAACGCGGTCCAGGCGTCACTCGGAGGACAAGCTGAAGGTCCTTACCTCACCACCGTCTGGGCCGTTCCTCCCGGTGTGCAATGCTCCGACACAAAGGGCCATTGTTTTTTATCCAACTTATCTTCAATGGCATCCTACAAAATCAAACACCCGGAGATTATAAGTCAGAGGGTTGTAGGAGTGAAGCGAAGGGACAGCAGAGGTATTACATACAAGACGCTACTCCTAAGGCCCCGTTCCCACTGCGCGATATGCAAATCGCGTGTTTGTCGCGCGATTTGCATATTGCGCGATATCGCGAGAATTGCAGCGCGATATCGCGTTCAAGCTTGCATTGAGCAAGCTTGAATCACGGCTAAATCCGCTCCAAAAAGGGTCCTGCTGTAGCGACACACGACAGCAGGACCCTTTGCCCCATTGAAATGCATTGGAGCGCTATATGGCGCGGTAATTTGCCGCGATATCGCGGGAATTACCGCGCGATAAAAATCGCTCAATGTGAACGGGGCTTTAGATATTTCCTTCATTTCTGCACTAAAATCGCTTCCCTCTGATCTCACTGCACCCAGCGAGCCTCACAAGTACATACAAAAAAGTGGGTTTCCTCCTTCACATAGGCGTGTCCCCTTCATATCAAGATTTCTTCCCCTTTACATCATCCCCCCCCCAATGGTGGATTAAGCCCCCCAAAGTGTATATTTACATTATCAGCACCAACATCTCACATTCCTGTGCAAAGATCTCATTGCAGAACAGACCTGTTCCGGTCCCAGGAACCCCCAAATATCCCAACTTCGAGCTCTGGGTTCCTCCCTCACTATGCCTCTCTATAGGTCAGCCCACTACAAGGGGGGCTACACGGAAACTCAGATTTTGGAGCTGGAAATATGCGTAAGGTTTTGTCAGGAAATATACAACTGAAAGCAAAAAGAGAAAACTCCGGATTTACCTCCATGATGTCTCTCAGCACTGGCGTCCAACGTGACAGCTGATAGGTGGAGGGAGGACGCGACTTCCTGGGCGGCTTGTGTGGGTTGGAGGTTGTTTTCTGCAGGAGACGGGGAGAAGAAGTTACAGTCTCATTGTTTTGCGCGGTGCAGAAAGCCTGATAGGAGATGTTGTATTTGAAGCTGGCGGTAATATGGAAACTGGACGATTAATGGGTGGAGCTGGATGTCAGTACTAAGCAACGTAGAGTGCAGGGGTCAGTACTAAGCAACGTAGAGTGCAGGGGTCAGTACTAAGCAACGTAGAGTGCAGGGGTCAGGGGTCGGTAACAGTGTGCAGGGGTCGGTAACAGTGTGCAGGGGTCGGTAACAGAGTGCAGGGGTCAGTAGTAATGTAGAGTGCAGGCGTCATTAGTAATGCAGAGTGCAGTTGTCAGAAGTAACAGAGTTCAGGGGTAAGTAGTAAGTAATGTAGAGTACAGGGGTCAGTAGTAAGTAACAGGGTGCAGTGAGTGGTCAGCAGTAAGTAACAGAGCGCAGGGGTCAGTAGTAAGTCATATGGAGTGCAGGGGTCAGTGGTAAGTAACGTAGAGTGCAGGGGTCAGTAGTAAGTAACAGGGTGCAGTGAGTGGTCAGCAGTAAGTAACAGAGCGCAGGGGTCAGTAGTAAGTCATATGGAGTGCAGGGGTCAGTGGTAAGTAACGTAGAGTGCAGGGGTCAGTAGCAAGTAACGTAGAGTGCAGGGGTCAGTAGCAAGTAACGTAGAGTGCAGGGGTCAGTAGCAAGTAACAGAGTGCAGGGGTCATTAGTATTGCAGAGTGCATGGGTCAGTAGTAAGTAACAGAGTGCAGGGGTCAGTAGTAAGTAACGTAGAGTGCAGGCGCCATTAATAATGCAGAGTGCAGTGGCCAGAAGTAACAGAGTTCAGGGGTCAGTAGTAAGTAACAGAGTTCAGGGGTCAGAAGTAACAGAGTTCAGGGGTCAGTAGTAAGTAACAGAGTTCAGAGGTCAGTAGTAAGTAACAGAGTTCAGAGGTCAGTAGTAAGGTAGAGTGCCGGGGTCAGTTGTAAGTAACGTTGAGTCCAGGAGTTGCCCACCTCTGGTCTATGGCTTACTCTGCCTTTTGCTTTCATGAATGGCCTCGGTGGTGGGTGGCACCTGTCTGCCCTGCTTTGAATGGCAATGACAGGAGGAGTCACGGTCAAACACTCTTGCCCAACCTGTCAGCCAAAGCTGCTGGTGACGCAGGCAGCTAGGAGCCTTACGGGCAGGTAACAGTATTCTACAGTGGCTCCTCCTGTCACTGCCATTCATGGCAGAGCAGAATGGTCCTGCCCACCCCTGGGTCGTTTGCATCAGAGAAAGAGCAAGGCGGTCACATGACCTGCGACAAAAGCAAGTTTTTTTTAATGCATTTCTCTCTAATCTGATTTAGAAGGAGATTCACAAGCTAGATTTGTGAAAAAAAACTATTTAGGTTTACAACCGCTTCATGGCAGATCTCTATCCTTTCAGTAAAACGCCTCCCACTGCCCACAAACCGCACATATAGATACGATCCTTTATAACCCAAGGGTCCCCTGGCTGGCCCAGTCATGTCCCAGGTCATTCTTCTTTTACATTAGGTGGTGGCAGTGAGCGATACTTGTTCCTGCACTGAATGGAGCTCACATACTTGTGGGCGAGTACTGTTCCATGCAGTAATACTCCAAGCCCCTGTTCCCCCTAACAGGTAAGTCCATGATAGCCTGAGCTCCTCACAGGAGACTGGCGACATCTACTGGTGGAAGGGAGTTATTGCATGGGACAGCTCCAGGATTAAGATCAGTATTACAGCAAAAGTGTTTGGGTTTTTTTGCTTGGCTTTTTTTTTTTACTGGAGTTCTGCTTTAAAGGAGAACTATGAGGTGAGTGAAAATCACCCATCCTCATGGTTCGAGCCGACCTGTGACAATGAAACTTTCACTCGTCGGCTCAATAGATGGGGAAGTGAGCGAATATATACCGTCGCTCGCTCACTTCTGCATCCTGTCCCTGCAGAGAGCTGTGACTGTCACTCACGGCTCCCTGCAGGGATTCCCCCCTCCCCTGTCCGATCTTCCAGCTTTGACTGGCGGAACGGACGGGGGAGGGTACAGCTGGCTCTGCCTCTAGATAGGCAGAGCCAGCTGTCACTCACGCAGCTGGGCGGATCTCGACAATAATGTCGGGATCCGCCCCGGCTGCGGCGGTCTCAGTATAC